CTATTATGAAATACTCGGTGAAGAACAATATGAATTACACACAAGATGGCTGTGGAGGAGGCTATGGAAGGGCATAATCTCATTATCAAGTAAATCAACTGCAATTCTGACAGCAATCATGAACAATTCTGCGTCGCACTTGGGGGGCAGAAATGGCTTTACTGGGGGGAGCAAATTCTTCCTCCCCCCAGATATATAGTTAAAAAGTCACTGAGCAAGCAAGCAAGCATGCAAGCAAGGAAGCAAGCAAGCATGCAAGCATGCAAGCAAGCGAGCAAGGAAGCAAGCAAGCAAGGACGAAAGCAAGGAAGCAAGGAAGCAAGCAAGCAAGCAAGAAAGCAAGCAAGGAAGCAAGCAAATTCAAGCGAGCAAGGAAGCATGCAAGCAAGCAAGCAAACAAGCAAGGACGAAAGTAAGGAAGCAAGCAAGTAAGGAAGCAAGCAAGCAAGGAAGAAAGCAAGCAAGCAAGGAAGCAAGGAAGCAAACAAATTCAAGCGAGTAAGGAAGCATGCAAGCAAGCAAGCAAGCAAGCAAGCAAGCAGCAAGCAAGCAAGCAAGCAAGCAAAAGCAAGCGGGCAAGGAAGCGAGCAAGTAAACATGCAAGCAAGGAAGCAAGCAAGTAAGGAAGCAAGCAAGCAAGGAAGAAAGCAAGGAAGCAAGCAAGGAAACAAGCAAGGAAGCAAGCAAGGAAGCAGGCAAGCAAGCAAGCAAGCAAGCAAGCAAGCAAGCAAACAAACAAGCAAAGAAGCAAATAAACAAGAGACTAATTAACAAATTTAACACAGCGATTTTTGACAACGAATTGGCGTCATCGCCTGCATGATTTCCGGTCGCGAATATAAATATTTATATTTCTCTTTGATTTTGACGCCAACCGCAAGTTTAATTACCATAATTTCCATTTGAGCCTTTTCTATTTGGGCCTTAATTACCATAATTTCCATTTGGGCCATAATTTCCATTTGGGCCATAGATATTTTGCTGATATTTATACGGATATTTCTGGTGTGTTCGGGGGCCATATTGGCAACGTCGAGGTTACTAATTGGTATTGAAGATTTGTGTTTCAATAAAAATTAATAATTCACGAACTATGGACATAGGTTAATATTCAATTAGTGTTTTGAATGTGTTAAGTGTGGAATTGGAAATGTTATCATTTTCACATGTGAAATCATATCTCAATTTTTTTTTTAAGACGCGCTTTTCTTCCACATATTCATAAGCATAACTTTCAAATTTCCGTAATTTATGTCAAGTAATCAAGTTAAATTCTGGGGCCGGTTGTATAAAAACGTAGTTAGCGCTAACTGCAGTTAAAAAGTAGTTAAAATTTAGTTAACTTTAATCACGTAGTTAAGCCGGTTGGATAAAAGTGTAGTTAGCCTTAACTGCAGTTAAAAAGTAGTTAAAAAAAGTAGTTAACTATGCTTTAGGGTATAGTTAACTATTCAAAAACGTAGTTAAAATGGCGTTTGTATAGGAGTGAACAACATTTTTCAGTAAAACACCAATGAAAAGCAACGCTTACCTTGGATTTTCAATCGCTCAGTATCTTCCCTGTGAATGTTTTCTGACAATATAAACTCTTCAAACGCTATCGCTTTCGTGTTTTTACGAAAACAGAACAAATTTTTGCACAGTACGATTTCTCGAAGACGAAGTATGGTCCATTACACCAAGAAACACTGATACATATAATTGCCAAACAGCTACAACTTGGTTTATATAACATACACATCTCACGGAAAAAATGCCTTCCTTTATGATTTTTGTGGCGGTTTTTCCTTGTTTTCTTGTATATTTTTCACTGTTTTCTAGTGCTGTGAATAAAATTCCCGCCTATTTTAAAAATTCGAGCGCACACTCATGCATGTTAGCAATACGTGTCGGCGGTCGTTAATCACTGCTTACTTTATGTAATTTTGTGTTTAAACGGCCCACGCAAGCTCCACGCACAGTTAACTACGTGATTATTTAACTATGCAACTAACTACGTTTGGTGCAACGCTGTTCATTTGGTTAACTAATTACAGTTAAGGATTTACCTACAGTGATTAACGCTAACTACAATTAGCGGTAACTACGTTTTTAAACAACCAGCCCCTGCGATTACTATTTTATTTTCAGATTATCCTGGATATCCCATACTCGTTAATTTCTCACCACGTAAACGGTCTTTAACTTGGATGGCTCCAACACAAGAACACGGACAAAGATCTTTCTTTACGGTGCAATACCTACAGGACAGAGAAAAATGTACGTGGATAGATGTTAATAAAACGTCGGGCCTTTCCATTTATCTTCCTTCTCTCTCTGAATATTTCCCGAATAATACTGTCCGCACTTGTTCTGTACGTGTGTGCTTTGATGGGAAAAAGGAGTCCAAGAATACGTCATGTTCGCGAGAATATAAAGTATACTCAAGTAAGTGCATTAGGTTTGAAGTATTGAGGCAAACAGGTATAATATCAGGCATTTACTATATGGCAAGGCAATCGTCCGAAAAACAGAGCCTTTTGATTGGTTCCTGAGCGTAGGTTTGGCGGGAAATTTTGACAGTATCCTTCCAGTGAAAACGGAACGAATAAACTATACGGCATGTTTGAAAATTTTGTTCTTTTTCCTCGGTAGCCAATTTGGAGATTGCATTCAGGTCGTGACTTAAACTATAACCTAAAGTATGTAGTAAGTGCAGGTGATCTGATCTACAAAAAAGTGGAGACCACGGATCAGCTCATGCTTACATGCATGTGATAAATATACATTTCTAAATAGCAAATTGTTATTAAGTGGAAAAGCGTCGTAGGAATTTTTACTGTGTATTCTTGGATCTTGTATGTACTTGCATGAATGTTTTTCTTTCCCTAAACACTTACGTGAATTTGTTTCAAATTCCGTTCTCTCTCGCGAATTTTTTGGGTACCTCCCCCACAACTCCCAAAGATATCTATAGTCCACATCTAAGTACTGTTTAATAAACGAGCAGGAGTGTTTTATTAGGTTTAAAGCCACGAGCGCGAGGCGCGAGTGGCTTTAGAC